AACAATGAAATTTCATTTAAGTATTCTGTATTTACAGTGCCCCTGGGTTATATTAATTATAATTAAATGACTATTTAGTAAGGATGACTTAATTTTAAGAATACTAAAATCTTAACTATTAGAAACATTAAGATTCCTATAAAAGTATTATATAAAACATTTACTGCAAAGTAAATTATAAGAGCAACAACTGGAAAAAACAAAATACTCACTACAATGGAGTGGTTAGATAAATTATTACAACAGTGAAACAAATAATATAGTATTTCAAAACCATCAAGTTGATCTAAGTATTCTGGAATGACAACCATACATTAATTAATTAGAAAAATACCTTTAAAATACTATTATCATTTATAAGTTACCTTAAACTGCAAGTTCAGGGAATAGAGGAGAATTTTAGGCTTATCTCCATCTGCTGTTCCATCATGCTCATTCCAGAGAGGAATAGGCTGCTCTCCACCTAAAAGTGGTTAAACAATTGGGGATTGGGGTAATTTCTTTAAAAGGAAAAAAGTAACTGTTTTGTTTAACAAAGAAATTCCCATAAAACAGATATTTTTTCAATGACTATTAACCCAGTCTTTCTCAAAGATCACTGGCCAAGTTACAGTTCACTAAAGCAGATGTATATAAGATGGAATAATTCTGCATCTACAGAAATTTGCAAGCATATTTTATAAAGAAAATTAAAACATTATATGTGGCCATTGGACCAAACATATTACAAATATCAGAAAAGATGATCAATGGAAAAAAGTAATCTGGGCTAATTTTTTCAACCAACAATGTGAACTTTGTTGTTTGTATTTAAAAGTGCTGTACACAAAAAAGAAAGAAAAAATAAAGGTAGAGAAATAAAAATAAGGTAATGCACACTACTAATAAAGAGTAGGGCATCAAACATTTGATCTGTAAATTTCAAAACAGTGAAGGGACTAACAGTTCTTTCAGAAAATTCCTATTAACTATGCTTTTCCTTTTTCTAGGTAATACAGATTCAGAATTAATGTTTTAATATTTTAATATCTAGCTTCTATTTTCAATTTCTTTAGTTTGGAAACTTTTCTGCATGCTTATCTTTCAAATATTCTACCTTAAAATGATCAGTTTTGATGTATAAATGTTCAGTTTAGCATCATCCCGGAAGTCTGTATATAGGAAGAACCAAACAGATAAAAAAGAGGTTTTGCTTGTTTTGAGACAGAAATTAACCTTTTATGGGCTTTTGAAATTTGATCAGGGCTCAAATTATTAAATTATGAATTAGCATCATAATAATGTATTTTACTTTTCTACTAGAGCAGAAAATGAAAATATAGGGAGGTTCACCCAAGGTAAGACAGAGAAAAGGTAGACAAGGACACACAGCTTGACCCGAAAAAAGAAAAAGATATATATACACAAGATGAATAAACACACAGTAAAGAGAAAGGATAACATGGATGAAGAGATAGGGATAAAAGTAATCAAGATTTGTGGGTCAGTAATACCTTAACATACATGATTCTATATTTTGGAAGAACAAGTAGACTACCTAGGTCTCTGTATGCTCAGTGGCTCTCTATATGCTTGCACCTGTCCCTGCCGTGGTTATCTTTTCTGTTTTTCTCTTCAAATAATAATTAATTCTTATTTCCACTGTGTATCTCAAGTCCACAACCATCTCTTACCCATGCATCATCACTGATGGCCCTACCTCTGGTTGTGTGTGTGTGTGTTTATAATCCTCTCCAGGTACCAACTAACTATTCCCTCCCATTCTTTTTGCCTCTAGTTTCCATTTCCATGTACTACCTAAAAAGTTTCTGTTGTCTTAAATTATACTTTCTATTTCTCTGATGCCCTGATTTTATTCAAATGTGGCTTTTTCTGTTGCCACATCTTTTAGAAGTCTAACATTCGGTCTGCGCCACGGCTCACTAGGCTAATCCTCAACCTGCAGCACTGGCACCCCGGGTTCTAGTCCCGGTTGGGGCGCTGGATTCTGTCCTGGTTGCTCTTCCAGTCCAGCTCTCTGCTGTGGCCCGGGAGTGCAGTGGAGGATGGCCCAGGTCCTTGGGCCCTGCACCCCATGGGAGACCAGGAGGAAGCACCTGGCTCCTGGCTTTGGATCGGTGCAATGCGCTGGCTGCAATGTGCTGGCCGTAGCAGCCACTTGGAGGGTAAACCAACGGAAAAAGGAAGACCTTTCTCTCTGTCTCTCTAACTCTGCCTGTCCAAAAAAAAAAAAAAAAAAAAAAAAGAATAAGTCCTTTGACTCAGTGGATAGTATTTAGCTTATATTTTTTTAAAAGGATTTATTTATTTACTTGAAAGAGTTACACAGAGAGAGAGAGAGACAGAAAGAGGTCTTCCATCTGCTGGTTTAACCCCTAGTTAGCCGCAACAGCTGGAGCTGTGCCAATCCTAAGCCAGGAGGCAGGAGCTTCTTCTGGGTCTCTTACGCGGGTGCAAGGGTCAAAGAAGTTGGGCCATCTTCTACTGCTTTATCAGGCCATAGCAGAGAGCTGGATTGGAACTGGAACAGCCAGGACTCGAACTGGCACCCATATGGGATGCTGGCACTGCAGGCGGTGGCTTTATCCCCTACACCACAGCATTGGCCCCTTAGCTTACTTTTTAATACTATTTTGGAAGGCATTAAGCCACCTCATTTTTTACATCATTTAACTTATAAATCATAGCCCTCTTACATCACTGTTATCTCAACTCAATTTTCTAAAATGACTGTCCCCCAAGTCACATTCTGGTCTTCTTCATTTCCTACCTTCTCAACTAAGCACACATCTTATGTCAACCCTAATACCTAAGGACAGCAAGTCAATAAGCCACCTATTCTTCCAAGTCATATCACATATTACTAAACCCTCTGACTCATTCTTACTAGAATTTAATCCTTCCTTGCCATTCAATGTCTTCCAAAAAGACACCTCTCTCTTACATTTTTAAAAATTTAGATAGCTGTGCCCCCAATCAGACTGAGTTGCTAGGGGAAGGGATCATATATCTTCAGATCCCAACAAGGAGTATCTAAGCAAATCCTCAGTGTCAGTTCTAAACACAATTAGGCATCTATGCTACTTGACAATCCAGCTCTTCAACTTTGGTCATTTCTCTCACACAATCCTCAAAGCAGCTACTATAATTTTTCATAATTGTCCTCACATTTCCAGAATTTTAACTTCATTCTCAGCCAATAAACATCCCTTTCTGTCCCTTTTTTTCCCCAAAATCTATCCCTCACTTTTGAAATGTGCTCAACCATCAAAAAGAAGTTACTCAAGAATCAGCTCAATTCTTTCCTTTTCCATAAAGTTCTCAATAATTTTACCTATAAAATGTTCTTTGTAGTTATAATGCCTAACTTTCTCATTCATTCACACTTAAGTTTTGAATTACTACATGTAAAGTATCTCACCTTCCCATCAAAAGTTCTGTAAGCCTGCCTGACAATTGTTATATACATGTGACTTTGTAACTTCCTCATTAACTAGCCTAGGGTCCTGCTTTTAAAGTTCTGTATAGAGGCCAACACTGTGGTGTAGCGGGTAAAGCCACCAACTGCAATGCTGGTTTCCTATATGGGCACCGGTTTAAGTCCCAGCTGCTCCACTTCCAATCCAGCTCTTTGCTACAGCCTGCGAAAGCAGAAGACGGCCCAAATCCTTGGGCCCTTGATCCCTTGTAGGAGACCCTGAAGAAGCTCCTGGGTCCTGGCTTCGGATCAACCCAGCTCCAGCCACTGAGGTCACTTAGGGAGTTAACCAGAGGATGGATGACCTCTCTCTCTCTCCCTCTCTTTGTCTCTCTCTGCCTCTGCCTAAATAAATAAATCTTTTTTTTTTAAAGGCTCTGTATAAACAACTACTGAATAGTTTTAGAATCTCTGCTAACTGACAGTAATATAGAAGTTAAGCAAGGTCCTTCCCTTTCATTAAAAACACCTTGTCTGAAGGGAAACTTACAGTGATAATCTAACACTATGAGCTCTACAATGCTAGGTGTTTTTTTTTCCTTTTTAACCATGAGAAAGATAAGTTGAGTCAATATGAGCATATTTTAAATTTTATATAATCAGTAATGAAATGGTCTTGAAAATGTTCAGAATTCATACAAATTTACAAACTTGAAATATTCTTAGCAACTTTATCATATAAAATGTTCTAATATGATTTTAACCAAGTATATAGACAACATCAAAATTTGTGTATGTTTCCCAAGTAGAAGCACTTTCAGCGGCAGAGAGGGATTCTGCAACATATTTATTTCTTCCTCAAGGGTTCTTTAGCCAATAATTTTCAGAAAGAATCCATGAATACCACTGATCCAATTTTTATGATTTAACTTGTGGAGCTGGGCTTCCTTGATATGATCATTAATAACTTTCCTGACCTCAGATGCAATTAGAAGCAGCCCAGCAGAAAACTGTTAATTGCACAACTGCTAACTGAATTAATTTGCTAACTGAAAGAATGCTGTCCTTCAGGACTGAATCAAATACTGATCTTTATACTGTGTCTGCATCCTTTCTCATTCTCCATTCCTGCCAAACTAAGATTCATTTTTAGGGTTTTTGATACAAATTCCTCTGAGGAGCCTTTTCTGATTTCTGGAACTAGCACCTTGTATGACAGAGTCACAGCATCTTGCTCTTATTATTCATAAAACTCATCAAAATTGTAACTGAATACTTTAGTTTGTTAAATGAATGAATGAATGAATCCATGAGCGCAGAGAAAGTCCTCTTAATGACAATTTATAAACTGTGGCTTAGATATTCTTTTAACGTGATTACATTCACACTGGAAATACTCAACATCAAGAATTGTTATACAGAGTCAATGTGGTTTTTATTTTAATTCCTCTTAATACATTATCTCATGATATAAAAGTCAATTAAATATTTTGATCAATATTACAATATTATCTAAATTTTGTTCCCAAATGAGTAAGATTAGTTTGACTGACTTTGAGCTTCATTTATTTATCTTTTTGAGATGGAGTGGTAAAGAAGCCTTGGGAAGTTTATGAATCTTAAGTGCATAAATTACACATGACTAAAATAATAAGCAAAGACTTTGCAGGTGAGTAGGCCAGAAAAATAATACATAGTTTCTCATGAGTTACCTGACAATCATATATAAATGCAATGATCAATACTCAGTATATGTTGCCAATGAGAATGAAAACCTACACCCCCACCATAATGTTCCAGATCATCTTACCAGAAACTTTTTGTATCACTTCATTAACTTCCTTCATGAATACCTTCTGTACAAATACCAAGTGATTTAGAAGATCAGTTGTGAGATTATGTTCAAAGGAGCCAACCTGTCAAAAAAGTCAAAGTATTATATTAACACTACTGACTATATTGTAGTTCTAAAACTTTTTGCATATCTCTGAGGGAAAAGAGAGAATTATGTACTATTTGAAACCAATATATTGAAGAAGAATGCATGATAGTCAGAGTCCCTAAATACTTCATAAGCCTAATACCCTTAAGGGCTACACTCTGTTTCCCACACCCCAGTTTTTCTTTGAAATAAAAGAAGTCAAAAAGGTGTGAAAAATACTTTGAAAACAAATGAAAATTATACTTTATATAATCTGCTAACTTTGAAATTAAAATTTTGCCTAGAGTTAAATTTATTTTAATGATAATTTTTATGGTCTTAGAAAATAGACAAATATTACTCTACGGGAAAAGTAAATTTGGTTTATTCAAACATTTATTGATCTTATACTCTATGTATGATATTAGGTGAAAAGAATATAGATGTTTTAAAAAAAAATCTGGATCTTAGCCTTACATTTGAGCGAAATGACAAATGGTAGATACCCTATTGAGCTTTAATATTATATGTGCCCTTTGATTAGTACAAAGTATTATAAGAAAGCAGCTCTTAAATGAAGTTGAATACACAGGAAAGATACATTTAAACACATTTATGACTAAGGCAAATGCCTTATCACTCACCACTCTGGTAGGTTTCATTTCTTGCTCAAAAATTAAAAGAGCAAAATGGGTTTGGCAGTCTTAAGAGGGAAGTCACAGGAAGTCTAAGTCGCTTTAAGCATTTTTCTTCTATCTAGTGTAGTATAACAAGGGTGGAAATGATTTTCAGGTATGTTTATTTCAGGTAATAGTAAAATAGGCAGTTCTAAGAGGGATGCAATTTTAGATTCTTTTAAATGTTCGAAATCAAATGCATTTTGACTAAATTTGAGATTGTGTTCTAACATCTAATATCGAATATTAGCAAGGAATTATAAAATTATAAAATTCACTGTATTAGATTTATTTTCTTTCAAATGAAGCAATAATAATAGTATTGCTAAGTTAAAGTTTAGGCACTTATGACTGAGAATAGAAAGCACTGGGGCCAGCACTGTGGCGCAGCAGGTTAAAGCCCTGGCCTGCTGTACTGGCATCCCATATGGGTGCCGGTTCAAGTCCCAACTGCTCCACTTCTGATCCAACTCTCTGCTATGGCATGGGAAAGCAGTAGAGGATGGCCCAAGTGCTTGGGCCCCTGTACCCGCATGGGAGAACTGGAAGAAGCTCCTGGCTCCTGGCTTCGGGTCAGCTCAGCTTGGGCTACTGTGGACAACTGGAGAGTAAACTAGCAGATGGAAGACCTTTCTCTCTATTTCTCCCTCTGTGACTCTGCCTCTCAAATAAAATAAATTAAAAATCTTTAAAAAAAAGAAGTGGGGGCAGCACAATGCGCCTGGAGGGAGACCACCAAGGTATGGCTCCTGTCTCTGCCTTGATACTTGGGAGACTTAAGAAAAGCTGTTTACTCTTTCAGCTTCAATTTTCTACTACATCAACTTATGATAGTTACAGATAATCTGCATACCACGAATCAAATGAAGAGTTATGTATCCAAATGATTAAAATTTTGACAGATGTTCAGGTATCAAATGAAAAAATACTGATGCAACCATGCATGATGGCTTTCAACTTACCTTAGTAAAGAAATCAGTGTATGAATCTACTTTATCTTTCTATATGACATTTAGATTAGCATACATAATCATGTATATCTGTATGAAACATGTAACCTTACTAGGGCTCAGTTTCCTCACTCAAAAAACTGAGAAAAAATATGTCTACTGCACAAGGTTGATTAAAGGGCTGCAAAAGGTAATGCATATAAAGCATATGATGAATATTAGCTACTAATTGTTTTTTATAATCAAATGAGCCATGAAATATTGCAGAGATGGATGTTAAATCAAATGTCAATTCAAAGATGGTGAACATATATTTATATACATATGTATATGTGTGTGTGTGTGTGTGTGTGTGTGTGTGTAGATATGGAAGTATATATTTAAAGTAAGCTTAAATAGGGACAGGAGTTTAGCCTAGTGGTAAAGACACTTGTGTCTCACGTCTGAGTGCCTGGGTTCACTACTCAACTCTGATGCCAGCTTCCTGCTCATGCAGACCCTCGGTGGCACAGTGATGACTCAAGTAATACCACCTACATGCGAAACCTGGATGCAGTCTGCAGATTCCAGCTTTAGTCCAAACCATTCCCATTGTGAGCATTAGCAGAATGAACTAGTAGATGGTTCTCTTTAGCTCCCAAATAAATAAACAAAACTTCAAAAAATTAAAAGTCTACATTAAAAAACTTTAATAGTTTAAAAATATTAAATATTTTAAGATAAATATTAAATATTTTAAAAATAAATATTAAAAATTTTAAAAATAAAAAGTGGCATGTATAAATAAAACAATCAAGACAGACATACACACCCAATTCAGTACAGAATTATTCTGTTGGACTAACTGATTTAATGTCTTACTTTAAAAGTTTCAACTTCTGAATACCACATATTTTATTATACTTAGATCTTGAAGACTTAAAAAGAGTAAGAAAAGTTAAAAGTAAACATACTTCTGCCACACAACGCAGATAATTTCCTTGTAAATAGTACCCTTGTTTAGAAGGCAGTTCATCGATACTCCACACTTGATCTGAGTAACTATCATGTTCTTCCATTATGTATTTCCCAGACATAGTAACAGGAGGAAGGTTAAGACTGGCAGAAGGAGGAATAGTTGACATATCTGTGGCAGAAACTTTTGAAGTAAAACGCAATCTGTGATTTGGTAGCTCAAATGTAAACCTTGTCTGTGCACCTGTAAGAAATAAGAAAAGTAACTGAGTAGATCATCACTCACTCATTCATTCCTTACTCTTTACAAACACTACCTAATGAAAATGTATGGATACCCCCAAATCTATCTTGAAATAAATGAAAATATATTTTAAAATTGGTGATAAAATATTTTAAATAAACATATGGTGACTAAATGTCAGTCAGTAAGGATTATTATATCAGTAAATAATTATTATGACTGTAAATATTTATTAAACTCAGTAGTTTTTCAGTATTGTGTTAAGTGCTACAGAATTACCTATAAATGCTCTTTATTTCATAGAAGGCAGAATAGAGAAAAAAAAAAAAAAAAACCCTGCCCTTACTATAAAAGGGTTAAACAGGAGAAATATATCAAATTAAAAACAGAAAATCTCTAATCCAGACAGTGCTTTTTTTTTTATAGAGAACAGCAGCAGTTAACAATTTCTCTCCTGATCCTGATTTATTGCAGAAAGAAGTGGAAAAAAATTTTCAAATTAATTAAATTATAGTCACTGAAACATTCATGAAGTGTCAAGTTATATATCTTTGATCTTAACAATAACTACTAATGTAACTGTATACATTATGAATTTTAGTTTACTGTTGACCTTAAATCAACTTTCTGGCAAATAGCTGTTCAATCAAATATAAATATATAACAAATACTATTAGCCCATATTTCTCCAACTGTTTTTTAGAGCAAGAAGGATAACAAAAGGGTCACAAAAACATTCAGAAGCATCTATTTTGAAGAAATCAAATTACCTCAGATTTGCACTAACTGTACCGAATGTGAAAATCAAATTATTTAGACTATGAGTCCCTAAAGAGGTATATAAACAGGTTCATCTACTGTAAGCTTAAATTAGACAAATGACTTCAACAATTGAATAATTTTAAAAATTTATTTATTTATTTGAAAAGCAGAGCAACAGAGACAGAGATCTTCTATCTGCAGGTTTACTCTCCAAGTGCCTTCAACAGCCAGGGCTCAGCTAGACAGAGCTAAGAGTCCAGATTTCCAAATGTGTCTTTCATGTGAACGGCAGGGACACAAGTGTCTGAGCCATCACTTGCTGCTTCCCAGGGAACATGTTAGCTAGAAGCTGGGTGGGAAGCAGAGCAGGGGCAAAGAGGTGCACTGGTATTTTTTATTTGACTACAGAATATTATTATTGAAATATAAAGGTTGCAACCAAAATTACTTAGTTTTTATATGATTATCTATAAAGCCAAATTTATTGTTTCATCAAAATATTACTAGTTTATCAAACAAATCATCAATTTTAAGAGAATCAATTCAAAATTCAACCTTACCTGTCATTCCATGACTTCTCATTCTTCCCATCTTGTATTCGGCTTTTAAGGATGGTAAAAGTGCTGCTCCAATGGCTATACCATCTAACATGGCACTGAATTTAAGAACAATAGGCTTCTTTTCTAAACCTTCTGGTAGCTGAGGAAATTCATTTGTTTCAATAGGAGTTTGATTAACGCTTGTAGGGGTTTTTTCAGAAGGCAGTGGGGTTGCAATATCTTCTTTTGCAGGCTGTGGGCTACAAACCCCCCCAAAATTTTAGAATAAGTAACTACCATTTTATTATATAAAGTTTAGAGATTTCTCAGTAAAAAACAGCAATAATATTGTATGAATATTTTCTTCCAAATATCAGATCAATATTGAAGACTTTCTAAAAAAAAAAAGCTACTGAACAATGATGATTTAGAAAGTAAACAAGAAGAATTACTAACAATATAAACTCCTGGAATGTTACACTGCCAAGACAATTCATATCATTAACGTGAAACTGGGAATGAAATCCAGATTTGCCTGATTTTACAAGATTTATGACAACTATTATGAAGTCTACTGTTGATTTTAGTACTGTTGATTGTAATGCTACTGCAATTATCACTATCACTATTACTTCCATTATAAATAAAAACACCAACACCAACAAAAAAAATAATTTTGTGTCCGGTACTGTGTGTTTTATCTCATTTATCTCACAAAATTCTTTATCTACATTTTGCAAATGAGAAATATAGCTATAAAGTAATGAACCTAAGACTTGGAAACAATCATTCTGACTTCAGAGCCTGATTTTTAAACTACCATGCCCTACTGACTACACAGTATAATAAGGAAAAATTCCCTATTTTGAAACAAAGATTGATGAATACATTCTAGATTTCATTTATAGGAGAATAGTACTTAAAATTTTACTTCTTCTTCAACTTCAGTCACGATATTATATCATAATTGAAGATCAAGAAAGAATTGGAAAATCATGCTTTCATATACCAACAAAAGACACATTAATGTACTCCCATTTTATAGGATGGGAGAAAAAGAAATAGTGAGACCATGTTTTTACAGTTCACATATTATTAACATATTCTAAATAATTAATAATTTTAATGTTATTTTTACAGCTTTTGGAAGCCAGGAGTAAAGCTCAGCAATGCAGTTGCATGAAGAAAGGCTATATATAATATATAAATACGGAAGAAAGTCTACAGACACAGGGAATAAATGAAACTGTGCTTCTTAAAATATATATGTGGCATGGTCAAATCATGCATGGGCAAAAATGACTACACCAACTATTAAACCATATAGTTATAAATTTTAATGAATTAGAAGTAAAGAAGGATTAACTAAAACTCATCAATTTGCTTTTTATTGGTATTTCTTTTGATTGCCTCAAATCTCTAGAATTCTTTCAGCTTTATTTTTGGAATATGTAATACCAACAATTTCATTTCTGACATGGTATTTTAATGATATCCAGTATGATTCTCCAATGTTGGTGTCTGTCTACTCTCCACCTGCCCCAATGTCCATAATGGTTAGCACTGAGAAGTAACCCTTCATCTTCCTCCAAACTTTTCATGATGCAGAATATCCTTGTATAGTATACAGAATCATAAAATATCAACAAACATAAAACTTACGCTGTTGAAGGTTGCCTGATGAGGTCTGAGATCTGTTTAGATAGTTGGTGAGAACTTCGAACCATCATGCTATGTAAGGTAGCAGGGTGCTGAGGAATGTTGATGCTGATAGCTCCTACTTTGAACACAGCAGCATTGTTTGTCTTCAGCCCTCTCTGAGCACTGTAGAGGGCCTGGGACTTGGCAATACTACACTTCACTACCGTTCTATCAATAGAGAAAGAGGACAATTAAAATACAGCCAAAGAAAGAGAATTCTGAAAAAAAAATTAAAAATGAAAACTGTAAATTATTCAATGAGTTAGAATGACAAGATTTTTCATGTCTTTAAATCATATATTGAACAAGTATTTTCTAAAAATATTAAAATATTTTATACTTTACTGAATAGCATTCTATTTAATAGGAAGAATTTATAGAAGGAAATTAAGTGTATGCTCACATGTAAAAGAATGGACACGGAAACATTTTATACATACATACACACACAACATTCCATTTTCTTTCCCAATTAGAACTCTGCTTTTCTTCTCCAACTTATTTTAAGGATCTATACAATCACTAAGAGAGACATGCACTGAATATGAAGAGAAAAAATGCTCACTCTACTTTAAAATTTCAATTAATGGTTTAAAGAAACCACTCTAATAATTATTCATTATGTTAAGATAAATTAAAAGAAGGCTCTCCTACCTACAAAGTCCCATTGCCTGGACTCAGTAAATAAGGGCAAAGATCCTTGCTTGATTAGGTACTGTGGTCCTTGTAAGTGAGACTCACCATGGATCTAGGGGAATTTCTTGAGGGAGACTACCATTGTTAGTGAACATTTTAATCCATCTTCTTGGTTACTTGCCATGAATTTTTTAAGTATATCAGGCATATGTAGCATTTTATAAACTTTTTACAGCCATCATTTTAGAGAGATTTTGACTACTTCTTTCTTGTGTAAAGGTGTTACAATATACTATATGTTATATTGCCTAGACCTGCTGACAACTTGCTTCAAGAATTATTAAGATTATGAGTAGATAATCAATATTGGCAACTGGTAAACTATTATTTCCTTAGTCCAGGTCTTCTTAACATCTTTCCACCAAGTGCGGTTTGACAAAAGTATCCTCTACAGTTTCAGGTTCAGGTTGACTAGTGTAGGACCATCACCTTTTCCATCATTTAAGGACTACAGTGTGAATGGGGCCCTCTGGAACTGGGGAACATAGAACCCTAGAAATCTTTAATATCAAAATCTCCACTGGAAATACCACAAAAGATTTACAATAAAACAGCAATTAGCCCCATTAGCTTTTCTTTCTGACTTTTGACATATAATTGAGAATCCAGTGTTGCATATGTGTTTATATAAACAAAGGTAATATTTAGGAAGACTTCTGTGGTTATATGGTAAACAGAAATTTACGTGTGTGTGTGCATGTGTGTGTGTCTATGTATGTATAAACACACACACAATTTATCCATTTATTCAGTATATTCAAACTGTCTGGAAAATGTCCAAAGAAATGACCATTGCTTAGTAATATATTAATCTGTCATGGTGACAGACTTAAATGAATAATTTTTAAATACAGTATCTCAGTATAACTTACAACCACAGTATCAGCTATACAATGGGTTACATCAAGTCATTCAAAATATAAAAGTGCATACAGTGAAAGCTATAGATAAAATCTGTCAGTAGAGCAGTATTCTCTTCCATTTTCAAAAAATTGTAAGGCTGAAATATACAGGTATTTTTGTTAATTATTTTTGCAATTAGTGAAAATTCTTTTGCAAAGTGAAAGCTTCTAGCTTCTACTATCATATAAACATGAATTAAATATTTGTGATAGTAAAAATTCTAATAGTATGTTGAAAAAAGCACAAGCAACACACAACTAGAGGTTAGAACCTGTCAACAACAAAATAATTACCAAAAACTAGCTCTTATGTGTTTTCCTTAGTAAGCTTCAATCTTTAAAAGCCTACATATTAAAGCTACAAAATAATAACTAACTACATATATTTACAGCCATGAGGAATAGTTTAAATATCAATCTTTAAAACATGCCAGTATTATGTTTATCATAAAGCCATTGAAAAGAATAGTAGGACATACAGAAACTCTTGTTTGGCTGTACTTGTAGGAGATGTAGGAAAATCCTCCAGTCTACAGATGAAGATTCAAGAGAAAGCAGGAAACAAAAAAGGAAGGAAATCAGCATTCATGCATAAATTAGTTACAATAGGACAGATCAACTGGAAAGCTTTTGTAATTTCCCACTCCTAAAATTTTTCTTCAAACTTCAAACATTTTTACCCTTTCAAACTATTTTTTAAAATTCTATTTCCTTTTAAATGCAATTGGAAATAAAATGCCAAAGAATATTCATGCCCGAAAACGTTACCACTAGAGTTTGAAATGACTAATGAGTAACTTATTTTTTAAGTAAAACAGATAAGGGATATTTACTTGGAAGGAGAAAAGAATCATCAAATTTAACATTTAAAAAAAATATGTTCTATAAATATTACGCTTGTACGAGATCCAAGAGCACAGAATAAATAAAACACTTGGGACATCTGAAGAAATTTTATTTGCTTTCTGAATGGGGTGAAGCACTGATGGTACTTCAAACAGAGTGAACAAAGGCATCACAGAATCCCATACTTAGTCTGGACTGGTGAACTTTCATCAGAAGCATTATGATAAAGCAGAAATAATACAGGTTCAGGTTTAGGCAAATATTTTCATCTTTCTGAATCTCAACTTTCTATAAAGTGGAATAAAACCACCTCAGTTCCTGGGATTGCAGTGAAGATTAAATAATCTGTGTGAGGATCTTTACCAATAGTTAGCACTATGTACTTGGCAAATTATTATAAAATAATAGCCCCTCATCTATATATAATTGACAGAGAAAGATCTTATCTCTCACAACTACTGGGATTTTCTGGAGTTAAAAATATTGCTAAGGAAATATGATTTGAACCCTAGGCAACTACTGGAAAGTCACCATCTTTTGTTCTAGAATTACTATAAACTATTCCAACAAGAATATAAAATGAGATGATCTCCCAGAAGGTTGTAGAATGGATGCTGTGGCTACTGATTTATCTAAAACTTACTGCAGAAAGCTATAGATCATTTATAAACATTAAGAAAATTTTCCCTAACATAAACTTTTAAAATATAATCAGACCTATAATTGACCATACTTCTCAGTTAATTTATGACTAATAATTTAAACAGAACCAAATCTAATATTTGGTTGGTATCTTGAATGATGGATATGTTACAGGACAATTGCAGTACAACATTAAGTAGTAATAATATTAACAAACAGAAAAATCTCCAAATCTGACCCTCACTTATCAAAACATTTTGCTGTTACAATATGAAACTGCTCAACAGAAAGGAAACTAGCAGTGACAGTACATACAACCAAGGGTATGAATATGCAAAAAGTGAAAGAGTTAGCCATATCAATAATTCATTACTGATCTGAATATATGTTAAAAGTAATCATTATCAGAGCAATTCTGAGCAAATCTAAGAACACAGCTTATAAGGAAAAGGCTAAAAGAAAGGTATAAAAATAAAAGGCTTACCTATACTTTTACAAAGATTTCAGAGGTTTTATTGTTAAATACATTAAGTAGAAAAATGACAAGAGAAGTTTTAAAACTCAGTGTGAATATGAATAATTATTTAATATAAACTTAAGTCTATACTGCTTGCCTAATACTTTTTATGAACTATCTGAATTACATGAGCATTTGCCTCTTACATGTTGAGCTGAAATTGTACTGTGATCATTTTTCTTATTAGACAACGTTAATGTACTGAGAGTTGCATTTTGGGGGAGGTAGGAGGCAGGGGTAAGTATCAAAACCAAGGAGAAAAATTATTTTTCTCAGAACATTTTACTGTTTGGTATTACTAATGACATTCAGAATCTCAGTATCTGGAAACTCCGTGTGTATAAACTTCATTGC